CTCTGCTCTTCCTGGGGAGCAGCCGGCGGGTGGGGGAGGCCAGTCTGTGGGTTGGGATGCTGTGACGCAGGGTGAGGCACTCGGGGGTGGGTGCGGGAAGGGCTTTTGCAGGGAAGCGAAAGAAAACGCGTAGGTAGGAGTGAAGCTACTGACCAGACCAGTCGGTGGAGTGTGAGATGGATTAAATAAAGAGGGGTGTATGGAGAAGCAGTACAGGTGAAATTCCAGAGAGCTGCTTTAGTGGCAGCGTCTTGGACAGTCTGGTGGGACACGAAGGCGTGGGAAGCGAGGGTAGAAGAGATGTGTTCCGAGCTGATCATGGCCTCGACTGGCATCCAGATTGCAGAGGTGCTGTGAAACAAAACCAGCAGGATTCGGCAAGAGCCTGGAGGTGAGAGTGCCAGTGGATGCCAAGGACTTGTCTGCACAGCCTGACGCTGGCGGGGCTGGGAGAGACTCGGGAGAGCCGGCGCTGTGCCCGGGTTTAGTCCGTTGTTCCAGACCATCTCTTTGCATAAGGGTTAACTGTATTTTATTTAGTTCCTCCCTGGGAGAGCTTTAGAGCAAACCCCAGGCTAATGAGGGCTCAAGAACAAAGCAAAGTATTGCTAGGTAGGGAGTAACTAAATAAAAATGCATAGAAGAATGTGCTGCAAAGCTATATTAAAAGTGCATTGTAAACGGATTTGACTTCACAGGAATCGTGTAATTTTACCAGCATGATTAAAGTGACAGAAGACAATAATCAAAGGCAGCAAATGGAATCACTCGGTGTTTCTAAATGCAAAACTCTATTTAAGGTATAAAACCTGACAGGTTTTCCAGTGAGACTTGCGTTAAATGTTCTTTATGTCAAACAAAGCATTATCAAATGTTTTGAATATTTATTAGTTTTTACCCCTTAATTTAATCAAGCAGTTTATTAGCCTCAAGGTTTAGCCAAGTTGATTTTCAACTTGAATTGCTGCTCAGATGGTTATTTTGGAAAGTTTGGAATGTTAGTACCGCACCAGCATTACTGTGTTTGCTATTTAAGTGTTGTTTTCAGACCAAGTTAACACCGAAATGCAGGGGGGTGGGAGGAGGGCATGTGTTCCTAGGCTAGTGATTCTTTATTATCAAGTCTGACTGGTGTGTTTACAGTGAATATTAATTACACTTCCAACTACTAATAAGCCAGAACTTGAAAGTGTTTAGTATCTGACAGGTCTCCCTGCTGAAAGCAACACTCTAATAGTCGATATAATTTTCCTGCGTTTGGGGGATTTTAAGCCAGATAAAGTGTGCTGAGAGATGACAGTGAGTTGTGTGGCTCAGCTCCCCTTCACGGTCCCCTGGGCTGAGCGTGGCCTTCAGATGCGTTCAGATACGTACACACAACCAGGACCCATCGTAGCTGCTCGTTTAAGGCTCGCTCCGGGCTTAGGGATCTTAAACCCAAAACAGACACAAGCTACATACTTTGTTAGCGCTCCGTCTGAAGCAAGGGAGGGGCACAAATGGCCAGGTCACCCTGGTTTCATTTGCGTTGCACAGGTCACCTGTAGCATTGGAAACACGAAGCTGGCACCCTCATTGATAAGTATTGTTTTAAAATTAGCATGCTTGCTGCTGACTTTCAGTGCTCTCAAGGTGACCTTAGCAAACAGCGCGGTTGTCCTGGAAGTGAGCAACTTTCTGTCGTAGCCAGGAGTCAGGTCTTCACAGCACTAAATTACAGAAGAAACACTGGGGCGGGATGACAGTGTGTTGTTTCATGTAAACGAAGAATAACGTGAAAAATGGGCAGAAAGAGCCATTTGGGGGTTGGAACTGGATGATCTTTAAGGTCCCTTCCAACCCAAATCATTCCGTGATTTCGGCCTGTTCAGGAGCCAGCGCTGGGTACAAAGACACCTCCGCTGCTGCGGCAGAGGGGAGAGAAGCGGAGGAGGGCCACCGTGGCTGTTGGCCTGTAGCCGGCAGATGTGTGCTGACCGGGGCACGGATGTTGGAACGGCAGCGTGCCTGCCTTGCAGTCACACGCCCCCTCTCCCTCTGGGAAGGTGGCACCCTTGTCAGAGGCGACTCCAGAACTTGGCCAACGTGAAGTCCGCTGGGAAGAAAGCTGCTCTGCCGACTCACAAGCAGAAAATTATTCTGCGAAAGGCAAAAAGCTGTGTCTTTGAAAGATCTGTTTACCTTTCCCACGGGATCTAGCTGTTGTCCTGGATTGTGGATGCGGAAAGGCTGTGTGCATCCTGCCTGGCGATCCAGGTGACCTGACAGAACCTCCTCGCTGGTTCCTACTGCAGCCACGAGAAGTTGAAGGTTCATGGTAGCTCATGGAGGCCTTTTGTGCTACTTTACAGCCAAATCAGAGGCCGGACTGTCCGTCTCCCCTTTCAGTCTTCCCTTCAGAGAGGGGGCAGTTCCCCTGTGCATTTACCAGCCTGTGCCTGGGTCAGCAGCTGTGCCAGGCTGCTCGGAGGCTGCGTTTCGGCGAAGCAGCGTGCACGCTGCCACTGTGCTGGGCAGTTGACACCCGGTGGCTTCTCCCGTGCCTGCTGGATAGGTCTGGGAAGATTCTTACCTGCGTCTGCCTTTGGTAACTTCGCAAAACGAGCAGCCACGAAATGTTTTCTTGTAGCTCCTGTGGCATCTCCCTGGCAACATCCCTTGTGAGTCACATTCTTCTACTTGACATTTCATGTTAAACTTTTCCAAATCATGATTTTATATCTACAGTGTGAGGGTGGAAATACCTGTCAGTATTACCTGGGCAACCTGAGCATCCCGTCGCAGCCACACAGTAGTCTGAGTGGTGTTGTCAAACCTGCACGAGAAGGTCATGGACTTGACGGTGTGTCGAGTCCAGTACCCTGCCCAAGCACCGGCTGTAGAGAGCTGGACCCCCACACTGGGAGCCATTCGTTCCTTGTTCCTGGTTTTGCAAAATCCTCTTCGCTCCCACTGTCAAGTTCCTTAGTGGAGCCCATGTCACTCCGTGCAGAAATGCTGGGTTTCCCGTTACAGGAGCCAGGGCAGGGCAGGGCAAGGGGCAGGCTGTGCTGGTGGGGGCTGGTCTGGGGCAGCGTGCCGTATGCGGAGCGGGGCGTCACGGGAGGTGTCCCCTCCCAGCGCTGTCGCTGGTGGACAGCCGTGAATTGTCTCTCGCTGTTCCGAGCAGAAGATGCTTTTTTTATCCCTGTGGTGGGCTGACCCTGGCTGCGGCCAGGTGCCCACCAAAGCCGCACTGTCACTGCCCTCCTCAGCTGGGCAGGGGAGGGAGAACAGAACAAAAGTCTCCTGGGTCAAGATAAGGACAGGGAGAGATCACCCAGCAAATACCATCATGGGCAAAACAGACTCAGCTCGGGGAAAATTAATTTATCACCAATCAAATCACAGTAGGATAATGAGAAAATAAAACCTAAACCTTAATCCTCCTTCCTCCCACCCCTCCCTTCCTCCCGGGCTCAGCTTTGCTCCCCCTTTCTCTACTACCAGCTCCCCATTGGTCTTCCCCACCAGTGGTGCAGGGGGACAGGGAATGGGGGTTGGGGTCAGTTCATCACACGGTGTCTGTGCTGCTCCTTCCCCCTCGGGAGTATCCTCACCCTCTGCCCCTACTCCAGCCTTAATCCTCCTTCCTCCCACCCCTCCCTTCCTCCCGGGCTCAGCTTTGCTCCCCCTTTCTCTACTACCAGCTCCCCATTGGTCTTCCCCACCAGTGGTGCAGGGGGACAGGGAATGGGGGTTGGGGTCAGTTCATCACACGGTGTCTGTGCTGCTCCTTCCCCCTCGGGAGTATCCTCACCCTCTGCCCCTACTCCAGCGGGGGGTCCCTCCCACGGGAGACAATCCTCCATGAACTTCTGCAACGTGAGTCCTTCCCATGGGCTGCAGTTCTTCACAAACTGCTCCAGAGTGGGTCCCTCCCATGGGGTGCCGTCCCTCAGGAGCTTCCTGCTCCACCGTGGGTCCCCTACAGAGTTATGGGCTCCTTTGGGCATCCCCTGCTCTGGTGTGGGTTCCTCCTCGGGCTGCAGGTGGGTCTCTGCCCTCCCGTGACCCTCCATGGCTGCAGGGCACAGCCTGCCCTCCCGCCGCCGGCTGCTGCTCTGTCTCCTGGACCACCTTCTCCCCTCCTTCTCCACTGACCTGGTCTGCAGGGCTGTTCCTCTCACGTATTCTCCTTCCTTTCTTTGGCTGCAGTTGCACAGGTTTCTTTTTCCCTTAACTACGTTGTCGCAGAGGTGCCACCACTGTAACTGATGGGCTTGTCCTTGGTCAGCAGCGGGCCCATCTTGGAGCCGGCTGGCATTGGCTCTGTTGGACATAGGGGAGGCTTCTGGTAGCTTTTCCCAAGAGCTTCTGTTAGCTTCTCACAGAAGCCACCCCTGTAGCCCCCCTGCCCCTCTACTCGTTGCAGCGTAACCCCTTCCCTTCACCGCCGCTGGCTGGCAATGGCCGGTGCCCAAGCTCCGGAACGCCGCAGGCGATGCGCCCCTTCACACCAGCACGCCTCAGCTTCCCCGCTTCTCTTACAAGCCCCTTCCTCCCAGTGAGAACCCCTTTCCAGCACGTTGGTGCTCAGCCCAAGCATGGAATGGACATGGAGATGACAGTCATCTTAAAAACTGGCTTAACGCAGGCAGTTTGTGAGTGGGTGCATCCCCCTGAGCACGTGATGCTCCCGTACAGCTCTGGTTTCCACCCGGCTGGCTGAAGCATGACCGCATCGTTCCGGGAACAGTAGTGGAAGAGCTGTTTCATCTGAAAACTGGTTGCCTTATCACAAAATGGTATCCCAATATAAAATTTATCTTGCTTCGTTAGGACAAATGGTGGCTAGGAGGAGTCACTGAAGAGTTGCATTTGATGCAGTGGGCCAGGCGCTGGCTGGGGGGGAGGCAGATCCTGCTTTGTTTGCTTTATGGCATTACTGTTTTGGCCTGGGGGTGCTGGACCATTGAACTCCCGCGATTCAGGATACTGTCAGCCTAGTCCAAAGCCCAGTGAAGTCAGTCGAAAAGACTTTCATGAATGTAATGGGCTCTGCAGCCAGCCCCAGGAGCACTGACCTCTCTTGACTTTCAGAAATGAAGGACTGGTTTGTACAGGGCTGTACCACCTCTCCTGGCTTTGACTGTTGAGCTTCCTTAGCACATATTCAATTGATTGACCTTACAAGTAACAGGTTATTTGATAGTCACCATGAACACAGATATTCTAGGTCTGTTTTTTCCGGACCTGTTGAAAACAGCAGACTCCCCATTGCCTTCAGTAAGCACTGGATGCTCCTCTTCACAGCATCACACTACATTTCTCCTTAGCATCGCGTGTTTTCCTTTACTCAAAACTGAGATACATGGGATCAGCAACCAGAGGTTGCTTTTTAATTTAGGCCGCTAATCCCAGCAGGTTTAAACCCATGCCATGCTCAGTGACGAGGGAGCTTCACCTGTGGACAGAGAAAAGCAGTAATGGTTCAGAAAAAAGGTAAAAACACATCAGGGGATGAGGCTGCTGCTTTAATCCTGTTGCTCTTCATCTTGTCTCCTTCCCGTGTGTCTGTTGCCCTCATTCCTTCCCCCTTGCTCTCACCACTCCTTCCTCTCTCTCTCCACGGTCCTTTCTCCCCCTTAGCGGTGGGCATATTGTCCCAGCCTTACAGACATCCAGGAGACGTAGAGGATGGGACGTCCCTTTTGTACCTGAACCCTTGCCAGGTCACCGCGAATGTTCGCACACCCCTGGCTGCAGGCAGCCCTGGGGTGAAGGAGCACCTCTCCACCACCCCTACAAATGGGGTCTGTGGTGCCACATTTGCACGCAGCTGGCTGCGTTGGTTCAGCAACACCCCGCAGCAGCAGATTTTACGGGTTGATGCCGAGCCGCTAATGCCGAGCCGCTCTGAAGTTGCACCTTTTCGTGCTGCACGGTCACTGGTCCTCCCCGGTCCCAGAGCAGCGGTGCGGCTGTCGTTTTTCATGAAATTGGGGTGCCCATTTCTTGACTGCTTCTTGCCGTGCCCTTCTTTCCAGCCTGAGCGACTCCAGTCATTTCTCTCTTGCGGTTCTTCACCTCATTTCGCTGCAGCGGTGGAGAGCTGGCCCTTACGTCCAGGCACACTCCAGGGACGTCACGTAGCGTACCTGCGGGGCAGCAGCTCCGTCGGTAAACGGGCGTTAGAGCCCGGGAGGCCAACGGCAGCTCCTCGGGGAGAGGAGCTGGTGCTCTGCTCTAGTTGCTTCTCTTCCCTTCAGGAGGCTGAAGGAGGTGGTGGAGCTGGTGTAAGCCAACTGCCCCTGGGTGCTCTCCCCTCTCTCTTCTCTGGCTTGGTCTGGCAGGCACGGCTGCCTCCTCGGGTCTGAGGGGGCTGCGGACACCCTGTGCCCCAGTGCACTCGTGCATTTAAGCTGAGGTGGGAAGATCCGTTGGCAATCTGATGACAGTCATTAATGAGGATGTGCAGAAGACATCTCAATCAGTGAACTGGGAATTAGATCAGATTGGGAATGTCGGTTGGCCAAAGCCCAAGCGAGGTGATGGACAGGTGGCTGGGAAGAACTGTTTCTTTTAGGTTGCTGGAGTGCACATCTGGGTTCCCAGCCAGGGGATGGTCACTGTCTCCCTACACTTTACCAGGCTCCAAAGCAGACTTTAAATAGATGAACAGTCATGAAACCCGGGGAGCAGCGGAGCTGCTGTTGCTGAATTCCAGACTCAGCAAAGACAGGTGAGAAGTGAAGCAGAACTGACATCTCCGTCTCGTAACGCGTGTGCAAGAGGCGAGAGTTGCAGTCCCACATCTCCTGCTGCAAGACCAGAAATGAGTATCCCAGGCCAAGAGTGCAGATTAGGGCTCGGGAAGTCTCCTCTTACATCAGCAGGCCTTGCGTACTGCAACCAGACATTTTGATTTCTCAGTCCAGAAGAAAATCCTTCTGGCGTGGAGCTCGCGGGGCGATAAATGCCAGAGTAGTTCAGTGCAACGGGAACTTGGGGGTGAGCTCGAAGAGATCCAGCGCTCACACGGTGCCGTCTGCTGCGTCGGTGTAAGATGGAGACAAAGTGCGTGGATACCTGTTGCCTTTGCACTCTTGCTGACAACACATAAGCCTAAGTAGGTCAAAGAGGAAAAACACTCACTTTTAAAAGAGAACTATAAGCATTTCTAGTTTCTCTCTCTCCCTCTCTCTCTCTTTTTTTTCCCAGGACTTTAATCTTTTATATGAAGAAGCAAAGTATTACCAGCTGCAGCCAATGATTAAGGAACTTGAGCGATGGAAACAAGAGAAAGAACAAAGGAAACATTTCCAGCCTTGTGACTGCTTGGTCGTACGAGTGACTCCAGATCTGGGGGAAAGAATTGCGTTGAGCGGGGAGAAAGCTTTAATAGAAGAGATCTTCCCGGAGACTGGGGACGTCATGTGCAACTCCGTAAACGCAGGCTGGAACCAGGACCCTACCCACGTTATTAGGTTTCCTTTGAACGGGTACTGCCGGTTGAATTCAGTGCAGGTAATGGCCGTTGGGTGCTGCCTCGTCTGTTGCCCGGGCTGTTTCTTTTACTATTTCTTGTTCAATTATATGCAAATTATTTGCTTCTGCCCAATTACCTTCAGCGCTTATACTGCAAGGAGACATTTTCTGCCTGGTGAGATCACAGTCTTTCAGGTTTTCCTAAGTCTAAGCAGAAAAATAGATTTAGATTTTGTGTATGTTAGTGCCATGCTGGTCTCATAATGGTGTTATACTGATAAATGCTAATTTTTTCATCAATGTATAGCCTGCAGCAGGTTTTTTTCCTCCAAAGTGCCCCCAGGAAGAAAGAGAGAGTTCCAAAAACTACAAAAAAAAAATCTCCACACCATTTTATAGAAAATGCAACAATGTGTAAATGCATAATTTATGTCTCACTCATAATTAAATGATGGTGCCTGCGGGATGGACTTAAAAAAATTGATCTCTGCACTTTTTTTTTTTTTCAAAAGGATGTTCTATAAAAATTGCCCAGAGTATTTTAAACAAAATGTATTTCATTTTATACTCGGAGTTTTGACATTAGCTTTAAAATTAAACATATGAAACAAAAGAAGATAACTGGACAGATAGGTGGATGGTAGAGGAAATCAGAATGTGGCTTGTGAAAAAAATGGTGTGTGTCGGGGCCCCAGCCGTAAGGGCAAGAAATGCCATTTCTCAAGGGAGCATCGCCGCTGCGGCCAAAGCGTTGGTGCTGTGGCTGTCCTTGGGCCGCGGGAAGGAACGGTCTTGATGATGCCGTTAACCTGGGCCTTAATTAACAAAACAGAGCTCTTGGTTGTTGCATGTTAGCCTTCACAATACGCCGCACAGACTTGTAGTACAGCAAGGGAAACCAGCCCGTCGGGGAAGCTGCCACCCCGGCGGACGGGCTGCGGGTGTAGCCCTTAACTGGGCTGTGGGAGATGCCTCGGTGGTCTGGATAAGGTCCCCTGTGGGCAAGTCCCCACAGAGGGCTGGCTCGTGAGGCGGGCTGGGAGACGGTGCAATAGCAAGGGAGGGCAAGCACCTCGAACCCTCGCGTACCTGCGGTGCTGCTACGCGGCAGCCGGGCCCCCTCCGCCTCCCGGTGCTCTGGGGAGACCTGCGCTCCCCAGAATACGTAAGTGGATGGAGTTGTAACAACCTGCATCCGACTGCGACACCTCCCTCCTGGGGGCAGCACGCCGCGTGCGCCGTGAGTGAACTGGCGCTTTCGTCCCACACCACCCCAAACGCAGCTGATGTGGGTGACTTTGGGTTCAGGACTCCCCGCTGTTCCATTCGGTGGAACTTCAACAGCCCAGCGCCTGTGGTTAGGTTTGCACAGCCCTTGGCGACTTCACGTTCGGCAAGGTTGGGAGCGGGCTGCCCCAGAACTAGGAGGCTGCAGGTGGGTCGGTGGCGGATCCGTTGGGGCAGTGGAAAGAGGGATGAGTTCGTCGCTGTGCTGGGTGGAGAAGGGAGGAGCCGCAGGTCAGCCAAGGCAAGTGACAGGGAAGGGTGTTTGTGTCTCAGCCACAGTGTCCGGGTGGTAATTCGCTGCATGCAAGAAACGGGAGTAACTGAAGCGGTCACTGCGAGGCACCGACGGGCTCAGCTCTGCAAGCCAAAGCGCCAGATGCCCACACGGCCAAGCGCTTGGCTCTGTTTTATCTGAAGTGGCGTGCTGGTAGGAACGTGCCTGTCGTAAAAGCTGAATGCCCACTGTTGCTGTTACTTGACTCTGTTTTGAATTCTGTCAAACTTCAGACAGAATCAAAGAGCCTCTTGGCACATTCGTGTTGTGAACAAAAATTTCTGTCAAAGAGTCTACAGTATAAACAATATCATTAAATTACATCATTTGAGCAAATTACATCATTTTACTATATAATTAATAGAAAGCGTTTTCAAACACTTTCTGGAAAATGATGTGTTTCTGAGACCAAAGGCTGATGAAACCAGCTGCTAATTATCACTGGCTCTGACGGACTCTGGTCAGGGCATAGGCGCCGCCCGACCCCTTCCCTTGCCCATCCCCTTCCCCTTTCCTTCTTTGGAAAATATTTTCATCAAATATTTTGTGTCAAGAACTGTGCTTTTAAAGCAAAGAATGTCAATATTGAGCGGGTAGTGGTAGCCAAAAAAATACAGGAGCTCTTAATTTAACGCCCTTTTGTCATCACATATAGGTACAGGGTTTTCTGAAGACTGACACTTTTTTCAGCGCCTCGCAACGGGTTCTGGCGAGGTACACGAGCTTCCCTTAGAGAAAGTTCTGTGCTGCTTGCCTGTGTTCAACGGCGAGTCTTCTTAATTAAGAATGTGTTCGTTAGCATTCTGCAAAGTTTAAATGAAATGCAATAAGTGAAAGTATCGTGTTTCTCCAAATGGAGAACCTTCCAACAGAATCAGATGTGCCGGGAATACTGGAAGACAGAGTATATTAAATCCTAGCACAAACCCTCTGGTTAATATTGCGTGCGTGTCTCCCTGTACGTGGAGAGTCACAGCTGATAGTGACTTTCTGGCACATTCTCTTTGGAGATCTACAGGAGAGCAGCTCTGACGTGGTTCAGCGACGCTTGCTGGCTTCCCTCTGCCTGTATCCTACCTTCGGAAAAAGTAACACGCGTGGAGCCAAATCCACCAAGGAGCATGTAAATCTGCTCGTGTTTCACACGCCGTGGGGTCTTGGGTGCGCGCCGGCGCAGACAAACCGGCACGTGGAAGCAGCCTTTCTCCGTAGGCCTGAGCTCAGCCTCACCCAGGGTACACTCAAAACCCGACGGTATTTAAGCATTCTCTGCGTTGTTTACAGGATTCGGCCTGTGTTGCTTCTTGCCGAGAAAACTGATGATCCCGAGGATTTTAACGCTGGGTGATAGCCTGCAGCCTCGTCCTTTGAGCGCGTAGGCAGCACGAACGGATCGCTTTGTTCTGCGCCCGCTGCTCTAAGGTGCAATGTCTACCTGGATCCGTGTTCACAGGGAGCTGGCTCGGCAAAGAGCCCCGCGTTAGCAGCCAGCCTTCCGTAGCCTTGGACCGAGGCAAGCCAAGGGCACCGCCCCTGCTTGTTTTGTCTTACAAGAAAATTGATTTTAAAAAGTTTTTAGCCAGGATTTTGAAGTCGCATCTCCCTGAAATCTTCCCTGTCAATCCTCCGGTTCGCTATCCGCTTAAATGCAAGAAGCCGCCTTTCCTGGAGCTGGGTTGTCTCCTGTCTTCCTCTGGCCAGGTCTAGAAACAGGGATACGTAATGCAGTCAAAATCCACCCCAGCCTGGTGATGTCTTGTTCCTTCTCCCCTCTCAAACCCCTGCCTTCCTCTTCGAGCAGGAAGTGGCAGTGCCTGCAGCCCGTTTCTGTCCAAAAGCTGCGTGCAGCCCAGACAAATGCGAGACTTGCAAGCTTCCTCGCTGGTTTAAAATATATTTTGGTAACCCCCCACCCCCTTCCTTTAATCTCTCCGGGTTCCTTTTTCTTCCACACACAGGGTGCTTTTTCGATCTTTCAGTTCTACATCTTCTTATGGCATAAAGTACAGAAAAATTAGGGCAAAAGTCAGTGAGCTTTGGCAGATGCAACTTTCTAAGTCCCTGTGTCCCCAGGCCGGGCATTGCTCCTCGGGCAAGCTGGTTTCCAGCAGATTCAGCAGGGCCGGAGCAGCTCCTGTCCTTCGCCAGCCAGGGTAGCAAGTGCAGGGTTTCAGCTGCCACTGGAAACCCAAACCACGGGTTGAAACGCAGATGGGTGACGCAGGCTGCCTCTGAGGGCTGTTCCCGCGGATCAGACGCAGTGAGTGCTGCCGCGGTTTGCATGGCACAGCCTAACGCCCGGCTACAGCTGGTCTTTTGAAACTGGTTACCTTTAAGAAAGGCTCCAACCTGGTGTTTCTGGAGAAGGCAAAGCCAACGTTCAGTCAAGAAGCAATGGTGCGCTAAAAACTGTTTAACATCGTTGTCGGTGAC